CCCCTTTGCCACCTGCATTGGCAAGGATACTAAGGTATTCCTGGATATCTTTCTGCACAAATTGCTCAGCTTGACTTGAGAGTTGGGAATAAAATCCAGCAACACCTACAGTGTATTTTGAATTGAAGTCCTTAAGAACATCTACGAGGCTCTTAATGAGGTTGATGATCTTTTCTTTAAGCTCATAATATTTCACTGTCCAGCTGGCCACACTTCGATCAATATATTCTTTGTGAAGAATCTTTATGAACTCCTGGAGCTGCTGTAACTCTTGAGAGGCTTCTTGAAATTTGTTTTGAACATGTTCATTAAACTTACCAAAGTTAAGGTATAGGCTTTCTTTTAGGAATTCAAAAACAAATGGAATATAGTCATGAAAGATTGTGTTGATTTCATATTGGATATCATTAATGATGTAAGTAAGATTCTTCTCCTTTAAGTGTGTAATTCCTTCTTTTATACTTTCAAAAATGCCTTCTAAAATGTCCTGAAGATCTCTTAGCATCTCTGTGGTCTTGATAGACTGGAGGTCATTAAGGGCGTCTTGGATCTGTTGTGATAAGAATTTCAACAGTTCCCCATACTCCAAGATTACATCTATTAGTTTATGGCTGCTTGGATCAAAAGGAAATTCAATCTTTAGGATCCTGATGAATTCAGATTTCTCCATTAAGTCTTGCAAATAGGAAAACAGTACTTCCAGCCCACTGTGGATTTTTGAATGTACCTGGAACAGTAGCTTCCCCACTTCCTTCAAAGCCATAGAGCAGAGTTCATCTCTAGTGTACGTACCGGCAATTCCTGGGAGCTGCGATCTGGTGTACTTCATGTAATGAATGAACGAGTCCATCAGATGATTGACTATCACTTTGTACTCCTCAATAAGTCTTATTAAGCTGTCAAATACTTTATTTTGGAGTTTCTGGAAATTAACTTGGCCCTCCCGAACTAACAGTTCCTGGTAGAGGCTCTGGGCCTTGTCCTTCCACTGCTGGTAGGTTCCAGCTGTGTTTCTGGCTACCCTTTGGAGCGCCAAGTCCACCTCATCAATCCGCCTCACAGCCCCTTGATAGGCCTCCTCGGCGCTGTTCTGCAGACTTCTTTTCAGTTTTAAAGAAGCCTCTCTCAGATCAAGGCCTGTGTGCTCCTGGTGGCACTTGTTGACATAGTCATAAAGGGCCCCTGCGGCCTTGGGCACGTGGTCTTTAAGTGCGTTTAGCAATTCGGATGCTGCTGCTTCTTCCCAGTTAACTTTGATCTGAACTTTCTCATCAGGTTCCTCGTACCTCGACTCACTTTTGAACATGTTGAGTGTTTTATCTGGAGAGGACTAAAACCAGCCAAGAAAAAAAGGATGAAAAGAACATGTTTTCAATTATCCTGATTACACAATAAACTACACTAAAACTCTATTACCAGTTAAAGATGAGAGGATCTTTCATATTCTGAGGGGGATTTATCTGTCATATGTCAGCTCATGCCTTTTGTCTTACGGTTAAACAAGTTCCCTGTTGTTAATTCTTCTTTATCATGTGCCCCAGAAGGGAGAACATTATGCGTGGCATTTACATTGTAACATCTAACATGAAGGTCTTCCTAGGATTGAAGATTGGAAGGGAATGAGGAAGAGGGAGAGAAAAGGAAGAAAGAGACAGGAGAGGACTAATTCAGAGAAAGGGGAAGTAGCAAAAAAGAAAAAGGACCACAGCCCTTCCGGCAGAGATCTAGAATACCAATATCAGGAGCCATTCATTCCCTAAGCCTATGGAAAACTTCAGTAATAGAGAATCACACTGCTGCTCCTCTACTTATGACATTTTTGATTTGGTCCTGGCAGAGTCTGTAAAGTACATGAGAGGAAGTTGGCATATCTCATCCAACAATTTTATTGTGTGGAAGAATTTTGAAACCTCAAATTATTCCAGAAACCACTATCTGAAAAATGCACTCAACATAGGGCAGTTTGCCCATGAGT